TGACACAGCTTGAGCCCATTTCCTCTCGTCCTATCGCTAACTACATGGGAGAACAGACCAACCCCCCCCTCACTACAACCTCCTTTCAGGTAGCTGTAGAGAGCGATAAGGTCTCCCCTCAGCCTCCTCTTCTCCAGACTAAACAATCCCAGTTCCCTCAGCCACTCCTCATAAGACCTGTTCTCCAGACTCTTCACCAGCTTTGTTGTCCTCCTCTGGACATGCTCCAGCGCCTCAATATTCTTCTTGTACTGAGGGGCCCAAAACTGGACACAGTATTCAAGGTGCAAACATGTTATAATAGCAATCTGCTGTTTTGCATGTTGGAAGAGTACAGGAGAGAATTTTTTGAGGCAATAGTAAGTGCCAGTTTTTGGGTGTTGTGGTTTGACCTGGCAGGCAGCTAAACACCATGCAGCCATTTGCACACTCCCCCCTGCCCCCAGTGGGATGGGGGAGAGAACTGGGGAAAAAAGAGTAGAATTTGTGGGTTGAGGTAAAGACAGTTTAATAGGACAGCAGAGGAAGAGAAAGTAATAACAATAATGATAAAAGAATATACAAAATAAGTGATGCACAATGCAGTTGCTCACCACCCGCCAACTGATGCCTGGCCAGTTCCCAAGCAGTGGTTCCCCCTGGCCAATTCCCCCCAGTTTATATACTGGGCATGGTGTCATATAGTATGGAATATCCCTTTGGCCAGTTTGGGTCAGCTGTCCTGGCTGTGTCCCCTCCCAGCTTCTTGCTGGCAGGGTATGAGAAGCTGAAAAGTCCTTGACTAGTGTAAGCACCAGTTAGCAACAACTCAAACATGTTACCAACATTATTCTCATACTAAATCCAAAACACAGCACTATGCCAGCTACTGGGAATAAAGTTAAATCCATCCCAGCCAAAACCAGGACACTGGGTCCAGAGCTGTTACACGTATTAAGACGGATTTTCAAACAAATAACTATTTTGATATGGATAACAAAAAATATCATTTTGACCTCAAGTTATTAGTGGAAACATCTTGAGTAGTTCATATATTCAAATCCTTATGTACACCTGTCAGTCAGATGTTTGCTGCCTGAATTCTGTATTGTTCAAGTGATCTGAAATTGTTTATACAGTAAGTACCTTTTGGATAGTCAATGCAAAAACAAACATCCAGTTAAGTCAGTTGAGAATACTTGAGTCTCTCACTGAAATCCCCACCAAATGAAGCTGTCTGGAACACAACTTCTCTCTGGCAAGAAAGAAATCCTAATCATTCTCATGGGCAGAATCTGCTTTTAGGAGAGCACTTCTTCCAAGATGACTGTGCTGACACAGTCCTTGTCATGAAGCCAGTAAATAGAGACCCTGGTTTCGTGGAGGTGACTGACTAAAGGGAGCTAGTTTGAAGCCCAACTTTGGTGAGTGATTCTTTTCACTCAGCAAATTTGTTGTTGCATATAAACAAATCTGTCATTCAGTATGTAGTTCTAAAGCATCTCATACTAACATGGTGTCGT